AACCGAATGACAATCTTCACTAACGAGGGCTGGATTTTATCAGCTGGATGCTTTAACATAAGCTTCATTTTATCTGCTCTAAGGATAATGTTACAAGACCACAATCTGTAGATCTTTATGTACAGTACATCCAAAATATCCAAAGGGGAGAACCTCAATCTGGTCAGGCTTCGTGATTTCTGAATGCTTGGTTTGGAAATCGCTTCTCCAGAAAACAATTTTCCATGCAATAACTGAACGCAGCTTCAAATGAAATTAAAGATTGAGCTACTCATTACTGCCATTCTGGCTGCAGTAACTTAATGCAGTAATAGTCATTGCAGGACTGCTAATGAGAAGGCGTAAACAAAGAACTGATTAGCTCTGATTAGTGCTGTAAGAACGTTCTAGAGTAGCATCGCTTAAATCAGAGTGCTGGGATTTGTACACATGGTAACAGCAAACCTTCACCTTCACTGTGCTCAAAACCAGGCATTGCGAGCTCTCCTCTTCACCAGCATAAAAACGAAACCAGGCAGCATCAGGAGTCAGAACAAGATGGCAGCTCAGTAACTGAAACACTGAGCAACTCTTTCTCTGAGGATACTTCCAGAATCCATACCTGTTATTCCCTGCCAGGTCCGGGCTGCAAAGCACATTTACATTTCCCTCTTGACCTCGCTTTTCATTGTCCTCCGCCTTTTTCTTAGTTGATTCACCTTTTCTTTTCTTCCCCGGCTATTTGAGCCCTTTAAGCTCATTCATACTTTCTCTCCGTGCTCCACAGAGTGAATCTTACCCTGGATTCCCAAGTCTTTTGTACAATTATCTCTCTGTACCTGCAGAAGTGGAAAACAGCAGTGATAAAAACTTTAAACTCTGTTCAGTCCACTCCCGCTTCTCTACTACAGAAGATTGCTGTGATAACATTGAGGATTGTTTATGGAGAAAAGGTGGTTTGGAGGAATTCGAGGAGTTTCGACAATGTTCTGAGCTCCTCTACTCTGCAGGTGCCAGCAGAGTTAACAGCATCTTAGAGAAAGGAAAATAATTTCACAGACCATTAGGGCTGGTGGGAAGCAGCAGGATCAGGTTTTAATGAATACAGGATCAAAAGCATCTTAAAGCAAAACAGCCCCGAAAACAGGAGCAGGCTCATCAGGGAAGATAGGAGATGCTTCTAACGAGAAACAAAGGACCAACTCAAAGACGTTTGGGAGTCAGTTTCTCACAGTTGTGCATTTTCAAGTACAATTTACTCTTCTCCAAAATTAGCTTCGACACGTCTCCACCACACGTACAAATAGCACTACGAACAGATTCCCTTCAATTCAAGCTTCCAAGTCAGAATCTTTCCAAAGGTCAAGATTCTTTACACAGTGTTTGTTTTCTCACAATTAAAACTAGATTTGAATCAGGGCGGCAGTGCCAAAGTTGAAGTGTCTTAAAGCGTTTTGAAATCGGACGAGCAAAGCAGCAGCGTGCAAAGCTCTGGGTCTGTGTGGAAGGCAGCTGTGGCATCACCAGCAGCAGGTGCTTCTCACAGAGGTGCTGATGGTGGCTGTGTTTTGTAGGGCTGTGATTTGGGCTGTTTGCACGTGGCTGCTCTGCTAGAGCGAATGCATCCTTTCCTGTTCCACCAGACATGGGTGCTGCCGGAGCCACGTGCAGGGAAGGTCGGAGCAAAGGGAAACAACCAGTCTGTAAAGGAGTGCTGGTTCCCAATTCTGTATTTCTAATTATTATTATTTTAATATGAATAAGCTGCTCAACTTCTCTACACTTCAAAAACTTTTTTTTGTTAAGGCGAGTTATATTCAACTCACCTTCCTCCTTGGTGCAGCCCTGAGGATTAGTTAATTGGTACAACAGCTTGAAAAATGTCTTTAATTATTATTTGATTCACAGTTAAGGAAAAGTCAGAGTACCGGACTCTGCCAAGCTCAGTATTTGCTGTTCTGTTGCAAATTAATTTTTGAGGAAAAGTGATGCAGAAGAAAAAACCCCCAGTTTCCTGTCCCTGGTGAATCCTCAGACTTGCTTGGTTCAAAGAAGCCTGGATCTCAGAAGCTTTTCCTTTCATCACCAACCATATCAGCACTTACTGTTCTCCAGTGTGCCCTGCTGGTGCCAAAGCTCAGCCTCCTGCAACAAGATAATAACAGTGTCAGCTTTGTGCTGGGCTAGGGGAGAAGGTGACATTTTCAAGAGGGTGGAGAAGATACCCAGCAGAAGTCAGCCTGCAGGGGTAACCTATTTGATTTTTAAATGGCTGTGGCGCAAATATTACTATTTCATAATGAAATAACATGAAGTTGGTAATACCAATATTCTTTTTACATCCTAAATCAAACAAACAGTAACCATACCCTTAAGCCAACAAACGATTCTATTACTTCTTGTGAATGCACCACAGCGTTCCTTCCGCACTGCATGTGGAAAATGTGCTTCGTGGATTTCTCATCAGCATAAGAAGAGGTGAATCAAGTAACTCGCAGCATTTCTTTGGCTGTTGCATATATAAAAGCCTCATTAAGTCTCCCCAGCGACTGGAGATGGATTTTGTTTAGAATGGTTTTGTTTGTTTTCGTAACAAAGATAGCAAATACGGGAAATAATTAAATAACTGTGTTTTCAGACTCTCCTGATCATCAGAAGCCTATATGAGATTTTAATTAGTGCTGCATTTTCAATAACTTTGTATCTGTACGTGTTGCAGATTCTTTCCTGGATAACAGGGAGATAATTATGAGAATCCTGTTTTTCAGTCTCTCACTAAAGGGATGGCTGATACATTTAATCATGATGTGGAAATGCTGGCAGCTTTCTCTGAGTTCAGCCTCTCTCTAATTACATTTCTAGATTTTTAGTAAATTGAAAGGGAAAATGTAGGAACAAAATAATTAAAACCAAAGAGGAAGTGAATATTAAAAAGCAGGAGCTATTTAAAATTCTCACACACAACTCCTTCATGGACATCAGTTTAATCAGCTTCGCATGAAAATCAAGCTCACGTTCACACAAAGCACTTCCAAAGCTTATGTATACTTTAGTATTCATTGGATCTTTCCATGCTGAAAAAAAAAATAACCTGCCTTGTATCATTTAGGTGATACTGGGACTTATAACCAGGACCCACAAAGCCTCTGGGGATTTGGTACTCTCACATGCACATACTCCCATTAAACTTCCAAGGACCAAACACTACCTGTGCCTAGGAATTGTCTGCTACTAGTAGCACTGAACTGTGTTAAAGATAGAAGGTAGAGCTTGCAAAGGATGACAGCACTTCACGTGATGTCTGCACTCAGCAGGACAGAAGCGACCCTTCGATTGCTTGTTTATACGAAGGAGTGGTGAGATTGCATCTTCCTTTTTGCAGATATCCAATTTAATTTTCCACTTCCTGGGAACAAGAGAACTTTGATCAGAAGAATGTAATAAACTGCCAAAGAGGTTGACCTCCCTGCTGCCACGTGACACACGGGCAGCCTTGAATTAAAGGTGACATTCCTGTTTATCATATCCCCCCCAAAAAACCTCCTATCAAAGCCCCGCAGCCTCAGAGCACTAATCTAACGCAGCAGAGGGGAAAAAAAACCTTTAGTTTTCTCCAAAATTGGTGCTTTAATTTCCTTTTATGTTTCAGCTAGAGGAGAACAAGCACAGTAGTAGAAATTGAGAGTTTATGTTAGGAACCCGAAAGCCAAAAAAAAAAGAAAGAGAATGAAAATAAACTTCTAGGAGAAACGTGTATCCAGAATAGCAATGGTATGACCAATTCTGTACTTCCCACGAGGCAGTTTTATAGCATTTCTTCATTACAGTGCAGCATTACCTGCTGTTTTGTCACCATAGGCAGCAGTTTGTGAAATGAAGGAATGAAGCAGGGTCCAAAAACCAGTCGTGATTTGGATGAGACACTTGCCAAGAAAACCCAGGATGCTGCAGAAAGCGTTAGCAATAAAAAAGGCAATATTGTCTGAGTCAGTAGTGGACAAATGTGGAAGCTCAGTATGTAGGAGCAGTTGTGCTATGAGAAGCTCCATTTTCCATACAAGAATGGGATAAGAAATAAAAAGACAACATATTTTTTGTTGAAGTGTCGTCGTGTACGAATTTTGCAAAGCAAAATCAACTAAAAACCTTTCTCATTTCAGTCACAAATAGCTTTTTCATCACTCGGTACCACGAATCCATTTCATATCTGATAAAGGAGCGCTGTTTTCAGTGCAGAAGCACACACTTCTAACAGCATTAGCTGCCATTTGGCAGGCTGTGTACTCACCACACACCAGAATACTGGGGAGAATCCGGTGCTGCGCCTGAGAACATGTAATGCACTGCTATCAGCATGTGATATAAATATATGAAGTGTACACGTATGATATATACACAAAAATAAATAGATGCAAAGCCTCTCTGGGCAATCTGGTAAAAACATTTCTTACAGTCAGGCTGTATCTCTGTTTTGCTCCACAATGTCCTCACAGAAACACCAAGGTTGTTAAAGAGAAGATCATCCAGTCCTCATGTACACAGGCAGCGTGAGGTTTTCCACACAGCTGCTGTGAGGCCTTTCTTAAGCTTTCTCTTTAGGTTGACAACATTAAATTGCACCAAGGAACTTTCAGGCTGGGTACTGGCAGAAATTTTAGGAGAAAGGTGTAAAACTAAACCACACACCAGCTCTAACCTTAAAAGCTAACACGCCACCAAAAGAAGCTTGTAGGGCGGTAGGAAGAGCAAACCCCTACGCAACACCAAGGCACGACGTCGCCACCAACGCGGCGCCACGCGCCACCTCACCCGACGCCTTCCCGCCTTTTTCCCCCGCCCCTCACGCCGCGGCTCGTCTAGCGCACAGCGCATGCGCAGTGATCCCCGCGGCGGCGGCGGCGCGTCGCTGGGAGGCGGCGTAGTGGGGAGCCCGGATGTGTCAGTGTAGGGCGGTATGAGGAGACCGCAGGGGACAGCAGGCAGTGGTGTCCGTCTCAGGTGAGGTGGGAGGGGCTGTGCGGGGGAAGAAGCTAAAGGAATCGGGTGAGGACTGGAAATCGCCACAGGGACGGGGGGGAGGTAGTGCCGTCCCCTCGCCGCTTACTTCCGAGAGGTTGCGGCGGCCCTGCGGTACTACTGAGAAGTGAGGGACCAACCCAGATCTACCACCCCCCCACCCCGCTTCTCCGCCGGCAGTTTAAATGGCGCTGCGACAGGAGTGGCTCCTTGCCAAATAGTGAGGTATGAAGCGTAAGGGGACTCCGAGTCATACAGCGCATGCGCAATCGCACTGCCAGAAAGTGAACCATGAGGGGAGGGCGAAGCAAGCAGGGCGGGGTCGGGCACGCATGCGCGAAAGCCGGATTGGTAGCAAAAGGCGCATGCGCAGGAGGAAGTCGAGGCACTTGACTGGGTCTTGTGTGGGGGAATGTGCGCGTGCGCAGTGGCCGCGAGCGGGGGGGGGGGCGGGGGTTAGCGCAGTGCGCGTGCGCGGTCGGCAGGGGAGCGCTGGGAACGGCCATATCCTGCTCGTTAGGTCGGCGCCTGCGCAGTGCGCTTCTGCGGGGACCTGCGGAATACTGAGCCACAACGAGCGCGTGGGACTAATCGGAGGAGGAAGACATGCTGCCAAATAGTGAGCTCCAGCTGCTGGTGTTCTCCTAGGGGGGCCGGCTGCGGAGCGGGGGGCAGAGTTCGGGTGTCGCCATCCCCACGCGCCGCAACTGCCGGGGCCGGGCTGCTCTGCCTTCCCCCTGCCGCCCTGAGGGGCTTCTCGGGCTGGGAGGTAAGAGCTGAGAGAAGGGGCAGGAGCTGAGGGCTGGGGGGGGAAGGTTTGGGGGGGGGGGGCGGCACAGCGGGGCGTGAGGGGGGGGGGTGGGAGAAGTTGTGCGGTCCCCCGTGGAGGGGCTGCTGGGATACGGGGAGCTGCGTGAGGGAACAGCAGTGGGTGGGTGGGAGGGAGCGAGGAGTGGAAAAGCCTAGGTGGGAACACATAGCCATAAAGGGCTGACAGGTCCTGGCCTGGCGTAGGGCACAGCTGCAAAACGGGAAAGCCCACAGTGCGGCGTGCCTCGTGGGCTCAATGGTGCAGCATCATCGTGCGGGGAAGGCGTGGAGGGCAGCTGGGAGTGCGGACAGAGGGGTCTGGTGTGAGCCCTCAGTCAGAGGGGTCTGCTGGTGGTGCAGCTCACGGAAAGCACCAGCTTCATTGCTGATAGTTGGTGTTGGATTGGGAATCCTGTGGTGTTCCCAAAGCTGGTTGTGAAACCCAAGTTATTTTTTGGGGGTTGGGGGGGGGGGAGGGTGGGTGGATTTCTTGTTTTCTTTTCTCTCACTCACTCTTATTAGGTAGGAATACACATAGGGGAAAAAAAATCTTTTCTTGTAATCTTTTATTTTACTTTATTGGTGTTGTTTGAAGTGTAACTCTGTAAAAGCGTTGATATTTCACTTTTGTTTGTGTTTTTTTTTTTTTTTTTGTGATAGGAAAAGGGGGAATGGTTTCAAACTAAGACGGGGGGGGGTGTTGGATATTAGGAGGAAGTTTTTTCATCCAGAGGGCGGTGAGGCACTGGAACAGGTTGCCCAAGGAGGCTGTGGATGCCCCATCCCTGCAGGCATTCAAGGCCAGGCTGGATATGGCTCTGGGCAGCCTGGGCTGCTGGTTGGTGACCTGCACATAGCAGGGGCTTGAAACTGAGTGATCATTATGGTCCTTTTCAACCCAGACCATTCTGTAATTTATAAAGCAAAACTCTTCGGTTGTTTAAAAAAAAAAGCCACATTAGTGAAACTGTATGAGTAAAACAACGTAAAACCAAAGGAGTGAAACATATAACAGGATTGCTTCTTTTTCGGTGACATTTTCTAACCTCTGGTTAGATTTCCTTACATCACTTGTTCCATTATAGCTTGAATAAAAACTACCTTTTATTTATGGTACTTTGTTACGGATGGGTGCTGGTGTCAGGACAAGCAGGAGTACATCAGGAGTTGTCATCCTGTCTCTGTGTCAGTAGAGGACAGTCATACAAAACAACTGTACCTGCCTTGAGATGATAAAAACTACTGCCGAGTGTGACATCCTGATTTAAAGCTCAGCATCCTTATCGCTGTTGGAAGACTACATGTTGCCTCCCCAAAAGCCTCCAGGATTTGCAAATAGCTGCAGATAATGAACGGCACGAATGCAGGACAGCTGTGTTTGCCTCATAGCCTCAGTGAGCGATGCCACCACTGCTCCCAAATCGCAGTGGAGCCTTTTAAGAAACCAAAACTACTCCTTTTGCAAGTGGTCTTTAATGTGGGGATGGTATCAGTGCTGGCTCTGTTGTGGGGTGTTAGACCTGAGGAATATTAGGAACAATTCCATTCACCAGAATTTCTCCTGTTAGTTTTCCCTGAGCCTGTTTGACCGGTGAGGTGTGGGTGGTGGGGGTTAATTTCTGGACGGAGCTGCTGTGAGCACCGCTGTGAAGCCAGTTTGTTGCCCTGTGTGATTTTTCCAGACACTTCAACCAGAAGAGGGACTTCCCAGCTTTGTTCTTGGCACACCCTTCTGTTCAGTGTCGGGCTGTTCTGCTGCTGGCCTGTAAACTTGGAACTACCTGCTTTAATTCCTGCTCCTTCTGTTTGGCACACAGCTGGCAGAGATGTTTTGTTGTCGTGTTATCAGGAGCTGTTGCTGGGTTGTCACTTGCATTCCTAGGCTCACATTTGGAAGTATCTGCTGTAATTTTGTTAAATCCCCTCTCTCCTCCTACTTCTGGCATAATTCTCTGCTCAACCGGAGTATTATATAAGATCGTGCTGTATTGCTCCTGTCTCCTGTTGCTGATATTTTTTTCTGCTCGGCACAGAGAGGAAATAAAAAAGAAAGAAATAAAACCCAACATCTTTTTGTTGTAAGCCTTTATGGAGAGAATTTTGAAGGTATCAATTCCTGGTTCTCAGGTGATGAGCTGCTCCCCCATTCTGTCTTGTGCAGAATATTCAGACTTAAAGCATCTGTCCCAAGATCTGGAAACACATGACAGTGCAGGAAACCAGCATGGGATTAAAACTCATACTTTAATATGCTTCCCTTGAGAAGGAAAAGCTGTTGTTTGTATAAACTGTATCTGTAGGTACATTTAGTACTTCTTCTTCAGTTTCTGTTCTCAGGTGTCCTTTTACTGAACTCTCTTTTGGAAGGAAGGAGTTGAGTGATTCTGGAATTCTCCTCTTTGCTGATACGCATACCTGAATATTGCAGCATCCATCAGATGCCCTTTGCTTCTTTCTTTCCCCTCTGCATTTTTAGAGGGGGGAAAGAAAAAGGTGCAGAACCACTGACTGTGTAGCAAACACCCCAAGAAAACTCAGAGTTCATTTTATTCTGAGTCAGCCCTTTGGCTGCAGGCAGGAGTGGCACTGCTGTGTTCCATGAGACGTAGTTGGCCTTACAGCTCTTCAAGTCATATTCAGACTGACGAATGGAGATAACCTGTTTGGCATTTCGGAGCCTGTGTTGTGGTGGTTTTTTATGGCTGAGCACTTGGAAAATGGCTTTTGCTGGCGCTGTGGCTTTTGTGTGTCGTGCATTTAAATTGGGCTGATGTGAAGCTTGGGCAGTGAATCGTATCAACTAGTGTTAGTGCTAGAAGACAGAGCCAATATCTGATAACGAATCATTTACCTGCAAAAAATTGGAATGTCTTTGTATATGTCTGTAGGCGTCTCATACACAGAGCCTTGGAATATTCACTTGAAAATATGCTAGTTTTTAATGCTGTAGGACCTCATAAGTTTAGTAATAATGTTTCTAAAAATATGCAGGAAGGTTTGGAGCTCGGTACACTTAAATTTATTACACATTGAGAAACATTTCGTGGCGTTGGATGTGTAAATGTATGTAGGGCGTGTAGCTGGATGCTGGTGTACTTAAACTGCTGACTGCTGGTTGGAGTTGTGTGAATCACTGCTCTTTCTTTGGAGCTAACGTGGCACCCTTTCACTTACAGCTGAAATGCTTTCCTATGTGACAGCAAACACAGCAATACAGCATCAGTCTGAAAAGCCTGATGGGAGCTGCACAACTTTGAGCATTAAACTCTTATGACTATCAGTGTGCTGGGATGGTACCTAGAAGTTCATGCAAAGATTTCTTGCACTTAAACAGCAATGTGTAATTGTTCAGGTTGTTTTTTTTTCCCTCTTTTCCATCAGAACCAATTGTCATATTTCAATAAACAGGTATCTCTCAAGTGTGTGTAACAGCTGAGCATCTCTCTAGGGCTGTGGCAAGTACTGATATTTAAGCAAAACAACCTGGGAAATGAGGGTGGCCAGAGAGGAAGTAATGGATCTCAGAGCCAAACAAGAAGTAAAATCTTGCTCGTGGCACTCAATCAGGTGCAGGATTAATTAGTGTGGTTTTAGTTACTGTTCTGCACTCGTTCTTTTCTTGTTGCTGGAGAAACTTGCTCAGCAGATCATGAATGAGGTCGTCATTGCATATAGCAGTGGTTTACTGCACTGGGGCCTTCACAAGATTATGGAGTTTGTTTTTCCAGCTTAGGCTTTAAAACTAGCGAGGCCTGACTGGAATCTTCAGCTCGTTCTGAGTTTTGGTTTCAAATAGGGGATTTGCCTTTGTCTGCAAGGAAGCTCAGAGATGCTTCTGATGAGACTGGAGAGCAGGTGGAGACAAACACCCTCAGTCTGGGGCTGCTGTAGAGCAATGCAGAGGAGCTGCCTGGCTGCCTCCCAAGAGTCGCTGCATAAAGAGGCTGGAACAGACGCTGCCTGCATTGATGTAAAAGTTTTCAGTTAACTTGGCTGTAATCATGCCTACAGATGAACTGTTTTGTCTGTTACGGAGTGTTGCCATATATATATTTTAAACCCTCTGGAGAATCTATTATCTGATGGTAGAAGCATCACACAGTGTTCCCTGTGTGTGCAGAGAGCAGCTGCTGGGGCGCTGCCTGTCCCGACCGACACTTCAAAATGAGAACAGCTACACTGGGGCCTTGGTTTCCTCACTTGCATCTTTGTAGAAGTGTCTGACCTCAACAAGTTGTGATTAAAAACCACACACGTCACTTTGATGGATTTCCTAGAAGTACTTGTGGCCCGTGAATGAAATTCGGAGAACCGTATTTCATTGCTGCTTTGGAGATGCGGGCTGTTTTCTTTAGGTTTCCTGTTGGCTTCTGGTTCTGTTGCTGCTTGTGAAGAAGAATACACTGTGTGTATGGGCACTGGAGTCCAGAAGCGTTGAAAATGGCTGTTGTGGTGAGTTTTACCTTACAGCCCTCTGCTTTTGCAGCAAGTGGGATTACAGGGAAATGGCCCGAGTTTAAATGTCAGAAATATTTATTCAGCTGCTTCCTGAAATGTTCTGCAAGGTGCTGGTCTGAGCTGGGAGCCCACCTTACCGGAGCTGAAAGAGATAGGAGTCCTGATGCTGCTTGATAGCTACAAATCTTAACTTTTGTCGTTTGATTTGTCTCTTGTAGCAGGTAACTGATATTTCTCTTCTGGATAATATTACCCAGCAGCTTAGTGAGTTTTGCTGTTGATGGGGAAAACAGTAGGAAGGCTTCTTCTAGTGTTATTTCCAATGGTGGAAGGGGAACCAGGCAGGAATGAGAAGCAGCATTAACTGTGGTTTCTGTGAGCCTGGGTTTTAAGCAGCTTATGGAGGTGGCCCGTTGTTGCAAGAAGGAAAACAAATTTATGTATCTTCTGGGAATTTATTTTTGTGCCCTTTTATATTTTCCCTTTGTTTTTAAAAGATTC